CACTGAGGTCTGGGGCTCAGCAGACCTCAATTTTGCTGGTTCTACCTGTGTCCTGCTAGATGCCTTGAGAAAGGCGTTTTTGGGGGCACTCGCATCACTTGCGGGGGGCACCCTCAACTGGAGATAGGAAGCTTTCTCTGTAACTCACAGCCTCTGCGGAAGGAGTGAATTTCAAATGGCTTCTGGAGAAGCCCATCATTCCCTTCACTGACGATGCTATGTTAGACTTGCTTCCTGATTTAGGCACCTTGTGTCTCTAAAGTTAGGGCTTGTGACTACCCTTCCACTAATGCTTCAGTTTTTGTACAGGGATAATGGGGATAATGATGCTGGACTTGTTTGTGAAAAGAGCTGAGATTCACAGTTGAGGATGTTTCTATATATGAACTAGATATAATTAATTTCTTTCTGTCATTACATGCAAAATTCTGTAACAGATGGACTAGTATCATTTGGCAAATAATTCATCTGACATTTCCCTCATCAATCATTAAACAATTGGTACATTCCTTCCTTGTGTACTCAGCTTTAAATCCTGTTCTGTTAGATGTTTCACAGCAGGCTGATGGGACTGGTCTAGATCCATGGAAGTCAGTGAGGAGACTGCCTGACTTGAGCAGGCTCTGAATCAGGCCGGGTGTTTTTATGCCGGGTGATCTCAAAAGGTACCATCATAATTAGTGAATGGGGAAGTCTAGATTCACGGTAAGTTAGCAGTGTCTCGCTTGGAGGTGTTTTTCTCGAGGTGTCCCTCTGCATAAAGCATAGAGAGCAATGAAGTATTATTTAACTTCTTACTGTAGGATGCTGTGTCTGAGGGTATGTTCCTGCGTACAGTACCGGTAGATGATTTGTGAAGGGGTACAGGATCATGATCTTCCCTTTGAAGGCCACTTAAACCTCCCATTCCCTCCCCTCTCCTTTGGTAGTTGGGTGCTGACCATTTCTGATGTTGTGGAGAAGTTCTGTGACATTCAGTAGTTTTCTTTGTGTCCAAACTATTTGAGGTATAGTAACATCCCCCTGCCCCAAGACAGTGGTTTTTTTCTATGTAACTGTAGGACAAAAGTTTGAAAAAGCTGACCTAAATGAATCCTACCGGCTCATTAAACAGTGGCAACCGATAAATCTTTTTTTTAATAGTCTCTTGCATTTTTAAGTCTGGGAGTTGGTAATGCCCATACTGTAGATGTATGGAAATGGATATTTCAAAACTGGGCCCTAACTTTAAGAGGGGTGATTTGGATAAATGATTTCACTTTTCTTCCACCTTTTAATTAAAACTACTGTGGCATAGACCGTGTACTTCAACAGATTTCTTTTAATAAATTGCATTAGGTGCTATTAGCTTTCAGGGTATTACTCCAGATTAACTGTCTCCTTTCCGGGATTTCCTCAACTCTTTGCCGTATCATTCGTAATGAAAATAGCCAGCTTTCTTTTCCTTTTTCCCCTCTCTTTATTGCATCAGTATGCATTGCAAAACCAGTAGCTTGTACATCCTAAGCTAAGATAATGAGACCAATATTAATTCCACTACAGCTGCTACAGGCATGTAAATGAACCTTTCATCTGTCCAGCAAAGCAGCTCTGAGACTTGCAAAGAACACCCGGGCTAAGCAGCATCAACAGTCGGGGAGATGGCAGAGGTGAGGGTGAGAGAAGAGGGTATACTAAAAATGGCTGGAATTCAAATGTTCTGAATTAATATTTCCTACTCAAATCAGTGCTGTTATTGTCCTTGCAATAATTAATGCAGTGGATATTTTTTTCCTGTTTGTCCCTCCTGATTGGGATGTCGCAATCGTTGCCCTGTTAGCACTAAAAAGGACGCTATGTGAACTCCCTCATACAATTTTCTTATCATGTTAGCCTCAATCTCTGCTAGGGGCCATGTCTTCTAGGTTGCGTCCGCATTGTGTAAAGCAGGTTAGAGCAGGCTGATTTGTCTAAAAGCAGTATAGTGGTAGCAGGGCAGTGCACGGGCTAATTAGCTGTGCCTCTCAGCAAAGCTAATTAATCTAGACACAGTGTTGTGCTGACACAACTCTGTTGCTTTGAGTTCTGGCAGGAATTAGTTTGTGGCTGATGTGGCTCAAGTGTCTCTGCTCTGTTTTGGTTTTTTGTGCGTGGGTCAGCCATGCCCTAAGAGAACTTATGCACCAGCAGTTGCATAGGATGGGAGGAAAATGTTGACCCTCAGCTGTGCATTGTGTCTTGTAATGCATCTATATTTTACCAACCAACAGTGGCTTCCCAGACCTCTAGAAAGTAAATAATTCTATTTTTAAAAAAAAAATCAGATTTCCTCTGTGTAATAGTGCAATAAAGAATTGTCTGTGGTTATAACAACAGGAGACTTGAATAACTCCGCATTGTTGTAGAAAGCTTAGACCCATTCGATACATACTTAGTATTTCTACTTTTCAAACGTGCTTACTTCCAGTTGTCTTCAGTACAGCACTTGAACATATATGAATGGCTTCAGTGGGGTTTAACCATATATTAAAGGTAAGCATATTTTAAATGCTTTGCTGAATTGAGGCCTAAATGAAAGCAATATGCAGAAGCTTTTGACAAACATCTGATTTCTCTGAACTCAAGTGGTCCATTATTACAGATCTGAAATCTCCAGGGAGGCAGACAATGTGTGTAGAGTAAATTACAGCGTGATCTGATTACTGGAACGCATTCGCTTCACTGCGAGATGACTCAAAGGTGCCTGCACAGGATGTCACTTCTGGCTAAGTTTTGTGCTAGTGGCCACGGCAAGGGGATGAACTTGGGTATGTTTTTATCAGTATCTTTTCAAATAAAAAGCATGTTCAGAATGCACATTACCCTGTTTAATATAGTTAAGCCAGAAATAAACAGGGACTCATTTTGGCAAGTACTTCTAATCTTCGATGAAGTTGGAATCCAGATACTAATTTCCTCACATCTCTCTTGTAGTGATTAGGATGATAATGCTGTTCAGTGAGCTCTACTTGTTATTAATCCTTTAGGAAACATTGCGTTTTCATGGAATAGTATGTGAAGGGATGGAAGGCATAGCCTTGGAGCTTTGGGGGATTGATCTGAGACTGTGAACTTGAAAGTTCAAAAGAGATTCTTCATCATCACTGTTAGGAAATAAAAGAGCTGAAGCAAATTTTGCCAATACAGTTGTGGTACAAGTTGGAGATAACATAGAGCGCATCACGGCGGATGTTCCTGTTCTCCAAAGCTCCAAGCCGGGGGGAATTCCTGTCTCATCCAACCCGTTACTACTCAGCTGAATTCCCCTTTGTTCCTGAATCCGCAGTAATCCACGCAGCATACTACCATTTTCAGTGTTCATTGGAATGCTTGGAGCCAGGGAACCCTGGAAATGACCGGTGCTCTGAAGCCCACCCTGACCATCACATTTTCCTTGTGAAGGTTGGGCAGAGGAGGGACCCAAACACCGGCGTGCTGTGTTCAGGATCAGGTTTTTTAACTGGGAGAGAAAAAGCTTTGCTGTTTCTTGGTCTTTTTCTTTTTCCTTCTAAGCGTTCACTCTCCATTTTAGTCTTTTTCAAGACAATAACTGATTTTGACAACTGTTTTATTTTAGCTACTGTGTGTGTTGGCATGCGTTTTGGCCTGCTGTGTAAACAGTGCAACGCTCACCCCCCTGCCCCTCAAGGGGGGGGAAAGGTGAGTCCCTGGAACAATTTCTACTGAATGTATAGTACTATGTATAGGACAGACCAAAGCAGCTCCTGAGGAGATATTCAAGTGTGTTGACTAGATGATGAATATAAAGAGAAGGTTTTACATGTGATTTTATTAAAACCCTATAAAGCCCAACACAGTTGTGGGGGCACACCCAACCTCTCAGGTAAACAAACATGTTAACAGAAGGTATTTCCTTATGCATTGCAGGTTTTGGGGGATCTGTAATCTACATTTGAGGCAGCCTTTTCAGAACTATTTCACCTGTGGTAAATAGAAATTTTTGTAAATGTGAGAAAACATTTACTTTATTACATTTTGTTCACTGTGGAAGAGCTTTCCTAGATTCTTGTGTGATTCTGTATTTAGCTCCCTGATGAACATACATTTACTGAGCAAGCGCTGTTGAGAAGAGTTGTGTTAAACAGTTATCAGCATGATACTGTGTTTGCTTTCCTTAAATTCAAGGACTTTATCGATATGTCACCATTAACAGAGGCCAGCCAAGGTCATAGGTGTCTTGTGCCACTTTCTTTTGAGTAGGGAACATCCTTGAGGTTTTCTGTGCACAATCCGTGGTTTACGCTCTTAGATGCCAGCACAGCATAAATCATACGTAACCGGTTGCAAGAGAAAAAACCTTGTCCCAGTAGGAGGAAAGGTGAGAACAGACAGGGGAGGTAACTTGTCAAAATGTGGCCAGAAATAGAACCAAATTTCCAGGTTCATCCCACACTGTCTGCTGAATGATGTTTCTTTACTGTGTGTTTTCCCATACTTTATTTCCTGATCTATTTAATTTTTTTTTTTTCAGATTTACTGTAGGTCAGCATTTTTAGGGCATTCATAATCACAATTGAATGTTGTCTCAAATAGTTACGGATCACGTAATTCCCTATAGAGAATTCTTGCTTTTTTCCCACTCAAGATATTTGTTGTTGAGTGTAATCTTGAATCCCTCTCCTGCTACATGAGACTTTAAGCCCAAAGGATGGGCTTCTGTAGCTTGACAAACAGCTGTAGAGATGGGAACTAGCATTAGAAGCGATGAGTGAGATTTTCAGAGGCATCTGTGGTAGCTGAAGATGCATTCCAACTAAATAAAAGTACCCCCTTGGACAGAGATGGGAAGAAGCCAGCTACAAAGATATTCCCTCACTCCCTACCCCTAGGGGTGCCCTGTGAGTACACATCAGAAGGAGTTTTGCCAGCTGCCAGAGCATGCAGCTAGCCCCCCTTCACTGAATGGCTTGCTTGGAATGCTCTTGAGCAGTGCTGCTTCATGCATCAGGTGTTTGCCCTGTCTGCCGAAGACCACCAAGAAATTCAGCACTGCGGGGAAGAGGTGAGACGGCCCTGCGGTGTCGTGTTCAAAGGACGAAGGAACTCATCGATTGAACGTTGGAAACCTGCCAACCGCACTTTGCTTGTGAGGCTGCAAATCAAAGATGCAAAATGGGATGATCAGATGCTGCAGGTAATCAGTGAAAATCACAGTGTCCCTCTTGGTCAGCCCTCCGCTGAATACGCCCAGTGGGACCCTAGGGAGACAGGAGACATGTCTGCTATCCAGAGGGTGAAGCCAGGAATGTCAGTTGCTGATTTGAGAGGTAGGGGCAGCGGTTGTGTTAGCTGAAAATTGTTGTGGGAAAAATTTTCAATAGAAAAACAGAGCCTTATTGTCAGGAAAAGAAAATAGACTATTTTTGTTCAATTCGAGGAGGTGATTTTAGAATTTTGCACTCCACTTTCTCCTCGTTTCAGGTTCAAGTACAAGCCCACATTGCATTATTTAGATAAGTATTTAATTCCTGTGGTATTTACCTAGGTATGTAATATAGGTTAGTGTTTCTGTACTGAAATAACGCAGAGTTTGTTCTGTGTGACACTTCGACTTTCCTTGATTTGAGGGTTCTTTATTTTCCCCCAGAAGATTGTAATTCCCAGGAAATGGGTATTCTGTTATCTATCTATCCTTAAAGAGCGAGTACTTCTACATTATGGAGGAGTTCTGAAGATAAATAAGAAACTATATTAATTTATTAAGTTACAGTAAGAATCAGTCCCTTAAAATGGGTGCTTCCTGACAACGACCATATTTTACAAGAGTCTGACAAATTTTTTACATGTCAAAATACTCTTTGGCATTTTGTGCAGCCTATCTAAAGGACTCAGAGAAGACAACCCCTCACAACTTGCCCTAGTCTCACAAAGCAGCACCTAGGATTAAAAAAAAAAAAGAGAATAATGAATAATTGGCCTCTTGATGATACTGTCTGTTCCTAAAGGTCATTTGCTTGTGTTGAAATCAATCGTTTTTTTCAGCAAAAAATACACGTTTCTGTGGCACTAAAGAAGTAATTGCCAAAGTTATTTATGTCACAATAATTTATTAATCTGGAAGGATGAAGACGCTACCCAGAGGTCATGTGTGACCTGGTAATGAGGCCATCAAGCATCACCATAAATAATTAAACCAAGACACATTACTTGAGAACTTTTTCTTTTCCCCTTCCTCGGGCACCTTGAAGTTCCTTCATTCTCCATGTAATTTGTGTTATGGGTGGATTACCAACATACAGAGCTGCAATTTTAGTCCTCCTTAGAGCATGACAGAGCAGTTGTGACTGGAAGGGGTCTCTAGAGCTGGACCAGTCCAAGTCCCCTGCTGAAAGCAGGATCAGCTATAGAGCACGTTGCCCAGGACTGCGTCCTCTTGAGTTCTGAATATTTCCAAAAGTGGAGTCTCCACAACCTCTTTGCCAACCTCTTCCAGTCTTTGACCACCCTCACAGTAAAAAGCTTTTTCTTTTGTTTAAATGCATTTTCCCATGTTTTGATTTGTGCCCGTTGCCTCATACCCTGTCTCTGGGCAGCACAAGGAGCTTGGGTCTGCCATCGTTACTCCTTCCCATCGGGTGCTAAGACAGTTGGTAAGATTCTCCTGAGCCTTTTCTTCCTGAGGCTAAATAGTCCTGGTCTCCACCTCTCCTTGGCTGACCAGTGCTTCTGATTCAATCTGGTTTTCTTTTCACAGTTCTGGTTTCAAGCAGAGACCCAGCATTAAAAATGACTTTGGATGTAACTAAAACTTGAACAAGGGTGTACTTGATTTACCCCCCCACCGCTCCCTGAGAATGAGCAGCTCTTAGTAAAAAAGAATCAGTAAAATCTACAGGACAGAACAGGAATTGTGAATTGTGTATCCAGCCCATGGAGGATGTTTGGTATATGTGGGAAGGGGAATGATTTGGGCTTTTTAGTTCGGTAACAAGGTGATGTTGTCAGGGTGAGAAGCAGCTGATTCAGTGCCGTGCGTTAGCCAAGATGACAGTCGTCATGTTTACCTGAAAGGCATAATTAATCTGAAGTTAATTGAGTAATGCTGTATTTAATCTCTTATAACAGAGAATCCAATTGACTTCCTGAACCAATCAATTTTTCTTTCTCTCTTTTTTGTATTGTTTTTCAGGAGGGATTTGGTCTTTGTTGTTGGTTTTTAAGTATTGTCCAAATCCATTTTTGTTTCATCTGCAGCAGATATGGACAACTACCTCCATTTCAACAGCAGCTAGGATAGCATGTACGTTTCTGAAACACTTCCAAAGGGATTTTGTCAGTCTATCCTTTATCATTGTTGAGATTTAAAAAAGCCATGTTGTAAAAGTCCAGCAAATATCTTTTCACCACCATTTAATGTGCTTGGTTCCTAAACAATTGCAATTGATTTTGTTTGGTCTTGCAAACACGAATTATCCCGTAATCATCTTAACCTTCCAGCCATGCTTACATTGACTTGTTTGTGTTTTAAAGTGAGAAAACGCAGACATTGTCATGAAAATAAGAAAGGTTAGAGGCAAATAAAAGGTGAGGGTTTTTTCCCCGGTTGGCAGGATGTGCATCCACTTCAATTAATTGTCACCCTTATAGCTTATTTAGTACAATGCAAGGAGTGAGGTAAATTTCAAAATTAAATAAATGACCTTTATTTTTGCTTTTGCTTGTGGTTTCTGCTAAATGACTATTTCAGGGTTCATCAGTGACAGTCTCTTAGACTGTGTGATTGCTTGCTTTTACTCAAAACGACAATACGCAGCAGAATACTAAAGGGGACAGTATTTTTCAACTACAATACATTTCTTTGCAAGGAAGGCTTTGGGGCTTACTGCAGTCTCGGTCCTGGAGGATGAAATTGTACAGACAATTACCCACCATTTTTGAATAACAGAGCATTTCCACTGACAGCCATGTAGATAACAGGGGCAAGCATTGCTGGTACTTTGACTCCCTTTTCTGCCTAATATGTTTTATTTTTTGAATGGCTTTATCCCCATTTTTCTGTACTCTTTAGGTTGTTACATGGTTTGGATTTCTACTGTTTACTGAATAAAGGGTTACTTTTGATAATTTGCACTTCTTTATTCTTCTGTCCTACAATATATATCTATGCATGCCCATTTTACATAAATTTCTTGAAAGAGTCGTATAAAATATATTAGCCTGAAACTGAATTGTCCGATCTGTAGCTAGTTATCGTGCAGGAAATACAAGGCTCATTCTTGGTAGGGGATGAACTCCCGCTGTCTTATCGTGGGCAGTGATGAAGCGCAGGGTAAATGAAAGGGAGAGGGATGCGGGGTCTGCCATCCAGGAAGCGTGCTTCAGTGTTCTGTCCTAGAGGGTTTTGATGAAGCTTTGGTTGTGTGTGGGCCTTCTAATAGAATAGCAGATGTAGTAAAAAATCTAACACCTAGTGAAAGCCTGCCAGCGGTTGTTGATGTTTTAAATGGGTCCCATGTCCAGGCAGCTGTCCCAACCCAAACTTGCTTAACACAGGAAAAATTGATAGGGTCAAATCAATAGGGAGTCTCGCTGCGAGCTCCAGATGAACGCTTGCAGCACGTACCCTGTTATTTGCTTTGCACAGTTACAGATCTCTTAGAAGGCTTTACCAGAAAGCACTTGCTGCCATGGGGGCGATGGTTATGATGATGGCACGCTCACAGAATTGTAACTCCAGGTGGGGAATAAGCAGCAGGAGTAGATGAGTTTCTTCATGCCAATGCCCTTAGCAATGAGAGTGAGAAATGCTGGAAAGCCTGTGGTGAAACGGGTAAAATTATTTCTAAACAGAGTGAGTTTTTCCACGGGTTTTTTGAAGGCATATTGGGGGGGCAGGGTTTGTCATGAGCTGCTCTGGATTTACTCCTAGATAACTCAAGTCAGAATTTGGCCTGAGTTGTCTTGAGTGCATTTCATACGTGACAGCAGCATTCAGAAATGCAGATTAGTGGTTCTGTAAATCAGGCTTAGGTTTTATTTTCATTTTTGTTCTGAAAACATTCAGGGGACTTGCAATAAGCCCCACGTATTACTGTGGCATTGTGAACTATCTTTAGGTTGAAAAACTCCATTAAGTATCTCTCCTATGCAATGTGTTCAGTTTATTTCAAGTGTAATCTATGCTTGCACAAGAGGCTTCTTTGGTAACTGCTCTGAGGAAGTAAGGCTTGATTTTGTGAGGTGCTGAGTGCCCTTGATGTCAATCGGTTTTAAGGATGCTCAGCCTCTGGACTGAGTGCGCTCTGGACAAGGCTTTAACCTCGCTGATAATAGCTGTAATAACGAGAAGTGGCAAGGCAAATTTTTCCTGTTGGTGCGCTTGGTATTTCTTTCCCATTTCATGCCTCCTGTGGGAGCTTTCTCAGCTTTTTTTCATGTTCCTGTTCATAATGACTTGTGTTCAAGCAAAATGAGTTTTTCATAAGGAAATTTGAGAGAAGCTTTGTCTTTTAGGACTTGCTTGTCATATAAGGTCTTTAGGTGAAGCTTGTTTATATTTAACTAGCTTAGGGTAGCGCAGTCTTACTGGAAGGATATAGAAGCTAGAAATCACAACCTCTGTAACATAATGAATGCTCCAGAGTTGTTCCAAATACTATTTTCCCAATGACTAACAAAAATGGTCCAATTGTTTCTGTATCCTCTATTTCAGCAGCCAGTAGTAGTAACTCCTTTAGGACACAATGTAATAGATAAAGGATAATTCCAGTAGGAAATATTTTTTCCTAGCACCCATTAATGAGGTTGATGTACATAAGAAGATTTAGCCCCTCTTTCAAAACACTTGGATATTGTTTTGCTCCTTATTAGTTTGAAGGCATTGGTAATTACTATAAAGTTCCAGATCTTTAAGAAAAAAGAAAAAACAAAACTCAATTTGCAGGTTAACGAGATCTGCGGCCATAAATTTCATTAGTTAGTAGTGTTAAATAAGGAAGAACATGAAAGATACACTTCCAAAACCTATGGAATGATAGTATGCCAGGTGAATCCCTGAGGTGAGACAGGATTTTGGGGGTTATTTGTTGTAAGAATGATCAATCTTTTTTTTTTCCCTGAAACTCTTTTCTTTCTTTTTTTCTCTTCCTGGAAAATGTATAAATAGTTAAATATTTCAACTCGATGCTACTGTGTATTGCACTAATGGGTTCAGTTTCCTAGTTTTCTTTGGTAGGAACGAGTTGTGTCTGTTTATATCCACCTCTTGCTTTTTTTATTTCATTTATATTATTAGCTCTCGAACCATGGTATCTTTTAATCTGTCTGC